CACAGCAGAAGCCCACCCTCACCCTGTGAACAGCCACCCCCCCCATGCCCTTCCAAGGGTGTGTGTAGATTAATGAAGAACGTGTGGCAAGCCATAACTTACTCTGCAATTAACGTGTTTAACATGCCCATGAATTCCTTTTTCCCCCCTGCCCCCACACCAGATCCACTGGCTTTCTTACTGCCCAACGTACATAGATAATGACACAGTCTGCTGGTTCAATAGAAATAATGTTAATCATGTGATAAGTGTAATATCTGCCAGAGATTTAAGTGACCAGGTGCCCACACTTTGATGCTGTTAGACTGCCGCCCTCTCACAACCCTTCCATTCCTACCTCATTCATGCAGTGGGACATCCCATTTTTCTTCCCCAGACCTACTCTTTCCAATGCTGTTTCTACTACTTACAGGACCCTAGCCTCATTTTCATTTTTTAAGCAACTACAAAGCAGATATGTCTCTGAGAATGTCATTTGGGAAAAAGTTTCTCCCCTTTTTTCTGACATTCAAGTAATGTCAAAAAGCTTCTACAATAGCCCAACTAGATATTTTCTCAAAGTTTAAATCTTCTGCATTTCTTCTCACAAGGTTGTAGAAAGACAGAATAATTGGTCCCATATCCATTTCAAGGAGATGAAAGTTGCTGTAAAAATATCCAGTCCATGCTTTGCTACATTTCAAATTTAATTACAAAAAGACTGCATCATAATTATTAGCTATTTTGGTAGTCAAGCAAGACCACTGGAATTAGAGAGCAAACATTTATATAGAACATGAGGCACATGAAATAAAATGCTGACTTACCCCCATAAATCTGGTCTATACAATGCAGAGTTATATCACTTTCTCCTATGACCTTATTCTTAAATTGTGGTTCCTATAAGAGGAAACAGTGTTACACAATTTCCCAGTATACCAATTTTCACTTAAGAGCTGCCATCTTTGAATTCAACAGATACATTTATTCTAATGGCTAATTTTTATCTAATTTGTTATTTTCACCGATTCAGTGTTATTCCAGTGTCTGTCCCTCCTCCCCACCTGACTTCTGGAGCCAAATTATTTAGCAGCTTTCATATCTGAAAGGCTATCTGACCTGCAGAATTAGTTATTGATGCTGGTATGTGTATAGATGAAAACCCAATTTGATTTTCAAAACCCAGGAGAGCTTGCAAAGCTTGTAGTTAAGGATTTTCACTTTTCAAAACATGTGTTTAAAACAACAAAGTCAATTAAATGCCATCTTTACAATCACTTTTCATATAAGAACAGTTATATGGTAGAAAGTGTCTATATTCACACAGCATGTGCCTGTGCTTACAATGAGGTAAGGGATGTGGACTTGGTTCAGAAACAGCTGTTAAGGGAACTGAGCAAAGAAGGTAAAAACATAGATAAGGAATATAAAAATATTCAAACAGCCACATTTATAGCTGAAGAACATCTGGACCCCAAATCTTGGCACAGAAATTTCCCAAACCTGAGAAGAAAATTCAAAGGCAACATTAAGATATTTGAATACACAAAAAAGGAGTGGTGGCTGAACAAGTAAGAGAGGGGATCCTGGGAGCTTCAACACTGTCAAATGAGTACAAAAACCAGCAGGTTAGCTAGAGAACACAGAAATAAAAACATGTCACGCTGTAAGACAGTTTTTCCCCAGCCAGGGGTAAAATTAGCTGGGCTAGTAGGGTTGGGGTTTTGGTTTGTTTGGCTGTTTTTTGTTTTGTTTTTTTTTTGGGGGGGGGGATATCTTACAAAAAGGGTAAGAAAGAATATTAATAGAAGAGATTATTCATCTAGGCTCTCCCCTGCACGCACCCCCCCACACCTTCTCCTTTGCACCTCTGTTATAAAATAGTGCTTAGTTATGAAAGCGCAAAGCTGCTTTAGTCAACTCTAGTTACAGGTGCCTAGTAAGTGGGCCTTCACATGAATGCTACTGGGCTGGCTGCAATTTAGAAAGCCAATCCATGACTAATTGGACCTTTTGGTTCAACAAGAAAAATACAGAATACTCAGCCTGCTACATAACAGACAATGAGTGAAGAGGGTCCTATAAAAAAGGTAGTACCCTGACTACAAAAAGAAATCCCTGCTCTAGTCTGATTCACTAGAGAAAAAATACAGCACAAAAAGGTCATTTGAAAGAAAAAATTCATATTTTTGAAACAGCTCTCCACACTACTAGAAAGGAGACTACCCCTGCTAGCCACTTCATGCCAGAGAGGATCTTGCATAGGTAATTATGGATACAGTTTGGAGAGGAGTGAAAAGCTAGTACTTCGGACTTCTACATAACTTTCCTATTAATTCTTTTATTGTTTCCTTTGGTAAAGGAAAAAGAAAGAGTATGTAGCAAGACACATGCATTAAAAGCACACCAAACCACTTTCAAGGCTATGCCAGATGAAGTTTATGTTCCTACATTATCATCTGAAGCAGACTCGTAACCCAGGAAAGCGACCTTGAAGTTTGTGCAAACAAGTTTCCCATAGGTGCCTCGATTTGACCCATCCTCTTGAACATACTTGAACACTGTGCTTGCCTCGCAAAGCAGCAGTTCACCTGATTGAAATAAAAAAAACCCAAAAAAACTGAACTTGCAGCATAACATATATTCTACATACCAAAATACTTTAAATCAACTACTTAGTTCTGAGTTGCAGGGTTTGTTTTTTATTATTATTTATTATTATTAATTTCTTGTCTTGAAGATACACATCTTCCAAATGGTTCAGTCAGGGATGATCCTACCTTGAGCAGTGGGCTAAACTAGACCTCATATGACCCCTTTGAGCCCTACCTTCCTATGATCCTATTTTACAATAGTGGCCAAATACCAAAGGAATGGTTCAAGGGATTGAAAAAGCTACCATCTAGGTAGCTGTAGACTCAAAGTTCAAAGGTCTGGTATTGAACAGTTCTCATTTGTAGTGAGCTGATGGTCTTAGATTTCCTAGCAAATGCCCAGGTCTTAATTTGTACCCTAGCTGAGATGAATTGAGAGGATGAACAACACAAAGATTGAAACAGGTTACTGCAGGTGTAGAAGTGGCTGGAGAAGCCTAAAGTAACTGTCAACTCTTTAGTCCCCAAGCACTCAAGCAAGCCATGTGCTTTTCATGCCATTTGAAATATTAATCAATTCTTTTACTGTCAAGATTATAAAGATTTAAATACAGGGTTCTCATGCTTTGAATTGTTCCTTGCTACAAAAATATCTTGTTTCATGTTTTTACTGTTTGTTTGTTTGTTTTTTTTAACTATTCCTTTGCCTGTGTTTTTACCACAGAAAGAATGTTCAGTCTTGCATAGTTTTGTTCAAAGGCACCGATATTCTCATTTGAAGGGGAAAAGGAATAAATCTTTACCTGTGCTCTGTATTCAAAATGTTGGTAGACGAGTCTAAATAAGTGTTAAAACAGAAGCACAAGTAACACTGAACTAAGACATTCTTTCCCTTTCAACTGCTCAGCTTCACTTGGCTCTTGCAAAGCCACTATTTCACTAGTTTTTCAGTTAGTGTTACAGCCTAGAAGACCGTCTAAATTCCTCCTAAGTCTTCTTTAGAAAGCAAAGTAAAACATGGGCACATTTTTCCCCATGCAGGGCAGCTGTAAGCACAGTACCCTAAAGAATTAATGGAAACACCAACTTGGCATTTTAGAACAACCCATGCAAGCGTAAACATTTAGTACATTCAGCCTGTGCAATTACTTAGCCCAAACCCTTCATTTTACTATTCAAAACACTGATGTCACTTCTCAATTGTTTGCTGCCATATCTACATACCTGATATGACAATTTTTGCATTCTACAGTTAATACATGAAAATACAAGAGTTACCTGGTAGCAAGTAAGGATTAACTTCCTTTCCTGCAGGTTCCTTTATATGAATTTCCTAAAAGAAAGGAAAAAAGTCATCGTTCCTTTGTAAAGAACTTAAAAAGGCCAAATATGCCACTAATGCATTGCACTCTAGATTACCTCGGGGATCTGCAAAGCACTGTTCAATTGAGAAGGAA